GTTTGGGTGCTCCAGGTATAAGACTTGATCCATCGGTTTGGGTGCTCCAGGTATAAGACTTGATCCATCGGTTTGGGTGCTCCAGGTTTAAGGCTTGATCCATCGGTTTGGGTGCTCCAGGTTTAAGGCTTGATCCATCAGTTTGGGTGCTCCAAGTATAAGGCTTTATCCATTGGTTTTGGGTGCTCCAGGTATAAGGCTTGATCCATTGGTTCAACAGATCTTCTTGTGTCTGTGGTTGTAAAATGATTGAAGTCAAACCTTTGTGGTGTGGGAAAAAGGCCTATTTCCAGGAGAGGACTTCTCCTAGACTTGACATCTCACTCATACAACTAAATCTCTTTGGAAACTAACTCTCTCTCTCTTGGTCTTGAGTACTTTTAGATCCAGAATAAACTATTCTATTCATTAAATCATTCTTATAAACTCATTTAATACACTAGGTAAAGCGAGGGCCAGCACACATGTTAACAATTACTCCAATAAATCCTGTGGTCATGGCAGCAAAATTTCTTCTACTTGCACACTTGTATTCTTTAGAGAACTAATTGCCATGCAACTATGAGATATTTACTTAAAAACCACAAGATTGAGCAGAAAATTTATGAATCAACACTGACTGAGTTTGAACCCTATGCATTAACATGGTTGCTTCTATGAAATCATGGTATAGCTTTGCAGCTTTTCTACTTTCAGGGTTGACTTTTGTAGAACTAAAATGAAGTAAAAACCAGGTGGAAATGATAGAGAATAAATGCTTCAATTATGCAAGAAAGTTTATAGCCTTTCTCTTGTGATGGCATTACCATGTGACTGGTCATTTTGTTACAGGTTTTATTGGCTGTGACATACAGATATAATCTACTTTGCCAGCAAAGGATGTTGCAGTGTTTTTTTTCTTTTAATATGGATGTACCACAACATACTTTCTGGCAAAGTAATTAATATATGTTATAGAGAACAAAGTCAACCTCTGTGAGTTTCTAGACCACGGTGATACCAAAACTGCATAAAACAGAATAAATGAAACATTTAAATAATTTCTATGATAATAAAAGCAGTTAGAAATGGAAAGATATATCCTGCATATCAAAGCTAGTCCTAAGATGTATTTTTCCTTTATCCTGATAATGTGTTTATTCTCAAAATAATTTGAAGATATGCTTAACTCATTTAAATATGTTAAGTAGACCTGAGTGGAGTCAAGCAGCTCGTGAACACACCTACATCTGAGGTCTTCACCCTGTGCTGTATGCTAAACATGAGGATAAGCTGATTCTCAACTCATTTGAATGTTTCAATTGGAACTGACTAAACTCGCATCTGGAGATTATTTCCAGGTAATCCCAAACTTCAAAAACTCAACACCAAATGTTTATTACAGTTATCACACTGTGTCATAAAATATTTTGAGTATGGAACCAGCAGGTCACTATAATACACAACAATTATTCAAGCAAAGTATGTTTTTGTTAATTTTTTACAGAAAATTTTATTAAATTAATATTATTAAATTTACAACTTTTTATCATTTTGTGTATTTAAAAAAGAAGAAACAAGCAGACTTTATGCTATTGTGTTATTTACGTAAGATACATGTTGTGCAGGAGCAAGTTTTAGCAAATGATGTTAATGTTTGAAAGAACAGTCATAAAATAAAAATAGTATTCAACAGTTGACAAATGTGCAACTGAGCATCTGTCCAGTGATTTATATGAGGTCATCTGATGAAAGTACATTATAACAATGTTTTCTTTAAATTGTGATAACAGGTGAGCTGATTATACAATCAATAAACAGTTTTTACAACATTCCAATTTAACATTACAGATGATACATACAGCATAACGTTCGTAGACTCTGCACTATACTATGTATAGTAAAGAAGTAAGGCTAGTTCTGAGATTCGTTCTGTATCTCAAAATGCCTATTTCTGAAAAGTTAACTGTTTTTGTTGTGTAATTATCATTCAGAGATCTAAAATATCTTTGTCACATGGAATACACCAAATAGTGCAAATTTTCTTGTACTGTTGAAGGTATTCCTGATCTACCAAGTTCAGGTAATTTTGTGTACTACAAAGGTGTACAATTAGTTACATAGAAACTGGCTGGGGTGAACTTTCATTCCTGATGTGAGATTTTGTAATGATTGTTACCTCATTATTAGTTAGCCCATTTAGCATCCATATCAGCTGTTTCAATAGGGGTGTTCATCACTGAGTGGAGATCGAAGTAAGCCACAAAGTGGGGTATCTTCTGAGGTCACGTGACCTGTGACATCAGAGTGGTGCTAGAGGGATATTCTAAATTATACTACTAGAGGTGAGGGATAGTTCCAAAATGTATCACTAAGGTAGCGAGATAATCTGTAAGCTATTGTTTGGAGAAATATTTGGTTCCATAGTTTGTGAACAAACCACCAGAGGGTACTGTTTGTCATGTCTAATGTCAAGTGGTAGGGAGGGTGCTGCAATAGCTGGACTCAATGTATGATTATGTCATAATGAACTTTATTTTGACCTTTCTGTACAAGGACCCATCTTATTCCACATTATAACATTCAAACATTCATCATGACACCCTTCAACTATAAATACTGGGCTCCATTCCACACTATTCAATTTAATCATCACTCCATGTAACAGTATTAAATTAACTTTATTTCTTCCTTTATCTACAGACTACTTTCACAATTATCAATTTCACATTCAAATTCAACAGAGATTACTTAAGGTACTTTGCCTATGTACAATTAAACTTGTACAATTTCATGACCAATCAATCCATTTACTGAATATACATGATAAATAACTGATACAAATACTTCACTAAAACTAAATACTTTGCTGAATGACTGGCATCTACAAACAAAATACTGATTGAGTACTTCACTGATTTTCATAATTTATAGTGGAGCCTTGTTTGTAGACACCTTGCAAAGTTTATCTAATAAATATTGAAAAATATTATTGGTATTTTGGGATTACTTGTATAAACTTACTTGATCTTAACATCATGTGTCCTCCAGCTAACATCTAAATCAAAACATCTGAAACATAGCTCACAACACTGCCCCCTTCCTGGATTGTGAAGTCCCTTGAATTGTCTTAATACAAAATTAAAACATATCACTAAGCTGTCCATTCATCAAGTTGTTTTTTTTTTTGTTTTCTCTTCCAAGGCCCATAGTATGCAAATAGAGTAGTCTCTTTTTCCCATCTTTCCATTGGCTGTCTTGTTTATGGAGTAGTACTTTCTAGGTAAGTAGTTGAGTGAATTCACTGATGGCTCTATCTTTGTTGATCCTTTGGAAGTGGTCCCAACAGGAAACCTGGGCTGCTTAGTAGGTTAAATTTTCAAGGACCAATTCTTCTCTGGGGTGACTCATTTGGCCATTATTTCACCATTTTACTTCCCTAGATGATAGGTGTGGATGACATGACTTAAATTGCTTACCCTTCTGGATTCTATAAACCAAGTCTGATTCTTTTTGGTACGACATATGGCTCCTATCAACACTTGCTTAACTTTTGAGTCTGACCTTTTATGCTTTGGGAATTGAGCAGCTATACCACATCACCTTAATGAAATCTCATCAGCATTGATATCATAGTGATTTTTAATTTTATCACCAGCTGATTTAAGTCTGTCCTAAGTAATTTCATGTATGACATCAATTGTGTGACTTAATTTCTTTACATAAACTGTGAAAAACTGAGTGATTGTTTTCCAAATGAGAATACAAAAAGTCCAACGCCACTTTAAAAATGATAGTGTGTTAATAATTTCTGTAACTACTTGAGTAGCGAATGGGTTTATGATAGTAAAGCATTGAGTTAAGTGTGCAGTTTCTTCATCGATGTTTTCTGTGGTGCATTTGGTGTATGCTGTATTTAGGAGGCTTTTTAGAGTGCCTAGATTCTGTGGGGTTACATGATTAGAAAACCAGTTTATGCAATTTCCGCTGTTCGTATTTTTTCTATGAATTTTAATGGTGAACCGATGGGGGTTCATGTGATGTTAACGTTTAAAACATTTATTGTGTAGTTTTCATTTTCCACTGTGAATTGTATGTTTTTATGTGCCGACCAGTGTCATGGCGGTATGTCTGCGGACTTACAACGCGAAAACCGGGCCTCGATACCAGTGGTGGGCATTTCACAGATAGCCCGATGTGTAGCTTTGTGCTTAACTACAAAGAAACGATGTCTTTATGTAGGTTGTTTATGTGTTGAAGAAATTTTATTTGCTCATCTTGACAAGTAAAGCCGCAAAAAAAAAGAAAAAAAAGCATCATCTGCATATCTATGCCAAAATGCAGGCGTATGTGAATAAAAGACTGTATCATGGTGTTCTATGTGATGTGAGAATAGAGTAGCAAAAATAGCTGACAATGGATTTCCCATGGCAAGTCCGTGTAACTGAAGGAAGTATGAATCTTTGTATTGAAAGCAAATAAACATGGTTAGCTGTAACAGTTAAATTAGGTGTTCTTGTTTTATGTTTGTTATCTTGAAGTCTGGAGAAATAATTTCTGTAGTGAGTTGTATTGCTTCATGACAAGGGGATTGAGGGAATAGTTTTAGGACATCAAAGCTAGACATAATGACGTAACTGTCTATAATATGAAAGTGTTGTAGAAGGTGTGAAGTGTTTTTAATTGGGTTTTTATTTTGGAAACAAGAGTTATAAGAAGACATAATTGGGCGTAAGGATATTGAGATTTTATGGACTTTTGGTAAACCGCAGATTCCTGGTTGGTTTGTATGCAAAAATATTGTAAAGTTTAAAAGTTTTAATGCTGTTTTGAGTAATTTGATTAATTTTTTGTTGTATGTGGAGTTAAGGTCCGTATTTAAATGAGTAAACTTAGACGAATCTTTTAGTATATTTAGTGTTACGACAGAGGAAGTTACGTGACGAATGTAACATGTGATGAATTATTGGGGAAGACCGAGTTTGTTCGGGACGCCCTCTTCTTTAGTATATAAGTCTGGCAGAGAAAGCCTGCGGAATTGAATGAAGAGAGTTCCGGGTAATTTACGAGCTAGTATTGACTGTGGAATTACTGTTTATTAAAAGTTTGTATCAAGGAAGAATAAACTGGTTTAATCAAGAAAAGACTTCTATCGCTGAAGTTCCTCGAAAATTATCAAACAAACAGATACGCAACAAATTGGTGTAACAAGTGGGACCGAAAAGAAAAAAGATGGAAACGAGAAGTGGCAAATCAAACTACGACTTAGCGGGTTTGATGGCAATACAAGAACAGCAAAAGAAACAAAAAAAAACGAGAAAATAAACCAGAAGAGAGACTACAGCAGTGGTTGGAGGAGAAAGAAAAGGAACAAGAAGAGAGACAACAGCAGTGACAGCTCGAACAGCAAAATAAACGAGAGATTTACAGCAGTTATTGGAGGAAAAAAAAAGAAACAAGAAGAGAGATTACAGCAGTTGTTGGAGGAATAAAAAGAAACAAGAAAAGAGACTGCAACAGTGGTTGGAGGAGAAAGAAAAGAAACAAGAAGAGAGATTACAGCAGTTGTTGGAGGAATGAGAAAAGAAACAAGAAGAGAGACTACAGCAGTGGTTGGAGAAAAGAAACAAGAGAGGTTACAAGCAGTGGTTGGAGGAGAAAGAAAATAAATGAGAAGAGAGACTATAGCAGTGGTTGGAGGAGAAAGAAAATAAACATGAAGAGAAACTACAGCAGCGGTAAGAAAATCATCACCATTGGCAACTGGAACAAGAAAGGAAACAAGAAGTACAAATGAAAAGATTAGTAAATTTCAAAGTGAATTAAATACATTAAAGGACGATTTACTGTCTTTTACACAGGAAGGATATATTAACCATGAACCTAATCAGCCCCAGACAACAGGAAGCCCCTTCCAGACCCCGCAGCTAAACCCTAATGCACACATAGTCAGTCCTGCCAGATATCACATTCCAGACATGAGTGTCAGCAATAGAGTTGATCTAGTACGAAGTAAGCGGCAGGAATTCGATGGAAAGGCACTGTGGGAAGTATATAGAGCACAATTTGAGCTCCTGGCAGAAATGAATGGATGGACAGAGGAGCAGAAAGCAGTGTACCTGGCAATGAGCTTGAAGGGACAACCAATGAAAATACTTGGACAGTTGCCAGCAGACAACATGCACAAACATAAAGCATGGTGGCTGCTCTAGAAATCAGGTATGGAACTCAAAATCAGTCCGAAGTCTACTGGGAGAGCCTGCAAGAGCTGGCACAGGATTTGGAAAGTATGGCACACAAGGCCTACCCAACTGCACCACCCGATGTCCTCAAGCTGTTGCTGAGAAATCAATTTATATACGCCTTGGACAGTTCACAACTGAAGATACAAGTAAAGCAAGCACACCCCTTTACTATACAAGTTGCAATGGCCAGAGCTCTTGAATTCGAATCCTACGTTAAGTCCAGCACAGAGGTACCAAGGTTGGTACAGTCATCAGGATTGAAGGCCAGAAAAGGGTACCTTTCAGAGAAGTTTGAAGGACTTTGCTGGCACTGTAACAAACTGGGGCACAAGAGAGTTCAATACCGGCAACTTCAACACAGGGAAGATGCCACGGCAGGAAATGCTGCTACCCAAAAAGGTTATTGGAACTGTGTAGAGCAAGGACATGTGAAGAGCCAGTGTAAGAAGAATATTACCAATAAGTCAGCCTCGGGGAAACCAGTAGAGGTTGGTGCTGATGGATGCCCACCAACCCCCATCGTGAAAATCCCAACAGCTAAGTGTAAAATGGCAAGCACACTTAGTGTCTACATGACAGGAAAGCTGGATGGCCAAAAGTGCAACTGTGTCATAGATTTTGCATCTCAGCAAACCCTTGTGAGTATCAAGGTGCTAGATCACAAAGGAGTACCAGAAGCCATACAGAAGCTCTGTGGTGTGACTGGAGATTATGCAAGGTTGTGGGGACCTGTGTGGGTAACTATTGAGCTCTTGGGCATAAAGAACAGAAACAAAGTATACTTGGCTGACATTGAAGACCAATGCATATTAGGGTTGGACTACTTACTACCGAGGAAGGGTGTAGTTAACTTTGATAAAATGACGTTTGGGAACAACAAAGGCCAAATTCCGGTAAGTGTTGCTGCTTCTATTGATTTGCATGCCACA